CTATCTCCGTAAAAGGAAACTTGGAAAGTATTTGTGGAAAATATAGAGGAATTCAAGGTCATCATAATTCGTGTTACTTGGATGCCACTCTTTTCAGCATGTTTACATTTACTAGTGTTTTTGATAATTTATTATTTAGGTATTAATTAAATATTTATTCTTTTATTCTTTATTTTTTATTGAAAATAAATGATATTTTATTTTTCAGACCACCAAATGAAAAAGATTGTCCGCAGTACGAAGAAGTACAAAGAGTATTACGCGAAGAAATTGTAAATCCACTTAGAAAAAATATGTTTGTGAGAGCAGATCGAGTGATGAAACTCCGAACTTTACTTGAAAAATTATCGTCTGTATCCGGGCTTACTAGCGAAGAAAAAGGTATTTCATTAAAAATATATTTCGATATTTTAAGAATTAAAATTATTATTATTTAAATCTGTACAGATCCTGAAGAATTTTTAACTTCTTTGGTTGCACAAATTTTGAATGCTGAACCATTTCTTAAATTAAGTTCTGGTCAAGATGCATATCATTATCAACTTTTTGTTGAAAAAGATGATCATTTAAATCTTCCAACTGTACAACAATTATTAGAACAAAGTTTTCTTACAAGTAATATAAGATTGAAAGAAGTTCCTTCATGTCTTATTATACAAATGCCACGATTTGGAAAATCATTTAAGATGTATCAAAAAATTCAACCTACATTATTGCTTGATGTAACAGACATAATTGAGGATTGTAGGTATTGTTATACTATATATATATATATTTATATATTATTGATAATATATTTCAATGTTGCAATTATTTCTTTATCATTATCTTTTATATACAGCTCCAAGACAATGTACTGTTTGCGGAAAATTAGCAGAATACGAATGTAAAGAATGTTTCGGACAATGTGGCGTTGGACTTGAAAGCATTGCTTTTTGTTTGCAATGTTTAGAAAAGGTAAAATAAAAAATATTTAGAAAATATAATAGATAAAAAAAATTATTTTAAAAATTCTTTTAGGTACATCGACACGAGCGAAGAACAAATCATGAACCAAAGAAGCTTGTAGTACCAATGGAATTCGCTATTTTACAAGAACATTGTCCAGTTCCACGATTATATCTTGAATTGTCGGCAGTAGTTTGTATCGAAACCTCCCATTATGTATGTTTTGTAAAATGTGGTTCTGGTTCTGAAGCCCCGTGGTGCTTTTTTGATTCCATGGCTGATAGAAAAGGTATTTCAATCACATTTAATAAATTCATATATTATATCATTACTACTAATTTATAAAATTTTTCTTTTACTTTTAGGAGAACAAAACGGTTACAATATACCGGAAATGGTTCCATGTCCGGATTTTCCGTATTGGTTAAGCGAAGAAGGTGGAAATTATTTAACTGAATTAACAGACGATCGTCATCTACCAGAACATGCAAAACGACTGTTATGCGATGCATATATGTGCATGTATCAATCTCCAGATGTTATGATGTACAAATAAATTAAAATGCCTGATAATATAGGTAAGTTAGGTTTAAAGTTATTATTTTTAATAAAAATAGGCATAATGTTTGTGCTTGTTGCTTTATTTTATGAAAATTTATATAACAATAGTAAAATTTATTCACAAAAACTTTATACTATTAGAGATAAAAGGAAAAGAAAAAATTGAAAATTTTATCAGCTCATAAAGTTTATTCAAATGCAGAAAAACATGTAATCTTAAGGGAACTAAGGTTATACATATATATTATACAAATTATATGAAAATCACAATCAAAAACTAGTAATCTAACTCGGGTATAGTACTGGTTTTTAAATTCACAAGATATATTCATTCATATATATATATATTTATCAGTGACATAAAATTAATATTTTTCATACTATACGAAAATTATTGGAAAATTTACTATATTATTGTAAAATTTATACATATATTGCACGATCTAAATTAATCATCAAATTTTATTAGTTTGTTGAAAATGAATTCAAAATATTGAATTAATATCTTGATAATTTACAAAACTGAATATTGTATTGATACACTGAGAATATATATTTGTCAAAAGTCATATATGAGGTATAAAATTTTATACGAAAAGCTTATCAAGATCATATGACTGATTTTTATAGCAAAGAGCACAAACAACTAATAAATCTTTTATAACTTAAAGATATAATGACTAAGATTAAGAAATTCTGCACTTTTAGATCTATTGTTGCTCTAATAATTTTTGTACTCCATTTTATAATATCAGATCAAATCTGTTTAATTTAATTATTTTGTTATTCTAATAATCTTAAAGAAATTTAATAGAGCAACTTAGCACAACAACAACAACAATTTAAAATCCACTAAGTTCATTACGTTTTTATATAAATAATAATAAAGATCTTTTTGATATCCTAAACTTGAATATTTTACATAGAATGAAAATCTAGATCTTAGATTTGTACAAATTTAATTAATATGTAGCAGATTTATATACTTAATGCATCTTTGATAGTAAATGTGTATATGAAAATTATAAAATCACAAAGAAAAATATTGTTTTAAAATCTTACAAAATTTTCAAAACTATTAGATTTTTTCTTGACTATAATTACTTCAATATCATATAAAAAAAGATAAAAAAAGAATTTTTGTTAGACTTAAGTCTGAAAGAAATATTACTACAAGTGAAAATAAACGAAATAATTATGAAAAAATTGAGATGTATCATTGTACATAAGTTATGTAACAGATAAAATTTAATGTTCATTCATGCCTTTGTGGCAAAACTAATAAAGATAGTGACGAAGTTTGTATAAACATGTATTATGAATTTAGTATCTGTCTTCATCTTCATCCATGGCAAAGTCACTGCCAACACCAGAATCTAATACGTAGAGAGGACTGTAAACATATACAAAAAAATAATAGTGACTAAGTAAACAAATGTGATATTGAAATATAAATACTTACTTTATTGCTCTGCATGGAAAAAACACAATGCGTTTTAACTTTTTATTATAGAAGAAATAATTAAAAGACCATAAGCATCCATCTTCTCCAAATGGATCAGATGCAAAATCTGGATTGTAACTAAAAATTTTTATATTCTCGATTTATTTAGTATATTTTGCAACTTATTTCTATAAAATTAGAGTAACAAATATATTATACGTTGAATATAAAATGATTCAAGAATTTACCTATAAATATCACATTCGTTTAATGATATTTCGTCATCAATGGCAGCCCAAAGTGCCGTTCGTAAAGTACGATAATGGTCTCCCGCAGTTGCACTCAAATTACTGTCTACAGCATTCATGACCCATTGCAAGCTTGGCTCTTTACTGAATTCATGACTTTTAGCATCAGAAAAATCATAATCTGGATGAAAAGCAGAATTCAAAGTAGCAATCAAATAGAATAATGTTTTTCTACTGATTGTATCACATAATGGACCATCTTCATCACCAGAAATACTGCGACTGTAGCAAAAATATATCTATTAAATTAATATACAGATAAGGTATTATCAGAAATATTAATGTATTTTATAAGGTAGATTCTAGATTTTTATAACTTTTTACATATATTTAAACATGAATTTTATTCCATATTAAAGAAGATAATATTCATATTTTTAGATTTATTATTTTATTACATCTCATCTTTAATTTTTAATACCTAAAGTATCCTTGAGCAGGTGATGTTCCTAATGATGTTTGTGGTGGTGATAAAGCTTGAAGATCATGTGGAGTAAAACCTTGTTCTGCATTGAAACGTTTATACAGCTGTTTATCATTTCCAGCCATTTTGCAAGAGTAGCTTTCTATTCTATGGATGAAAAAAATATAATGTTTAGGATTATTTTAAAGGATAGAACAATTCAATAAATATTGATCCAATTATCTTACCTGCCTATTATTTTGCTGTCTCCAGTCTTGATGGACAAGGCACTGTTTATGGCTTCAAAACGTGTACTCTCCAGCAATTTCATCTTGTCAACAACAGTAATTTACTTGTACGTTGTGTAAGAACAGTGTCTCTGTACTGGATACTCTTGGTGCATCTCTCAGTGATCTCTTGTCATTAATACTCCATTAGATAGGAGTTGATGACCTTTAATGTGTTTTTCGACTAAACTTGACCTCGTTTCTCAGTCGGACGGCCAAGGGATGTTCAATATAATCGAAAATTTAAAAAACTTCTACGACATCGAAGACTTATTGAGTCTTTGTACATCTTTTTTATATATATGAAAATTCCTTTCCTCTTTGAGTGTACGAAATTAATCTTGGACGTAATGATTTTTCCCGCGGCGCCGAGCTTGTACATCACAGATCTCTAATTAAAGATATCGAGACGAATATACGTCCGTGCGCAATCCGATTTCAGCAATCGGTTCTTAGATTAAACTTCAACTGTGATCAGTGTTGGCTTCTCGTGCTGCGCAAATGACGTGCAAGTTAAAGAGAGGGAAAACGGAGTAAAGGATAGGCGACTACCCTTGAGAAACAAAAGACGCCGTTTTTTAGGTCAAAAACTCGCGCTAAACAGAAAGTTGATGGCGAACGTGCTATAAAGTCGACAGAAAACAATGAATCGGGCTTGTTTATTGGAAATCAGCTAAACAAAGTGACTAAGAAATGTTATATGTCCGCTACTGACGAAAACAATCCATAATTACAGACATTGTTGTCACTATCACTCGAATTATCACGGTCACTGTTAAACAAAAGCACCCAAAATTCAATTAAACTCCGATGCAATAATCAAAAATCGACAAACTTCAACTCTTTTCGCTCCTGTTTCGCACCGTTTATTAATTATTTGCGTTTCGATATTAGTACATTTATATGCAACAACGAATATATGCGTTCTACGTGACAGAAATAGCACAGCGAAGCGTCTTGAATCCTTCTCTCTCAGATTCTGTTTCTCTTTCTTTTACTCTTTTATATCACTTCCCCTCGCTTCACCCCTTAATCCATATATGTTTTTAGTGTGGATATGTACATGAATTTTATTCAGCCAATCAAAAGCCAACGATAAAGATGTGTATGTAGCATACGATGCAACGAGTCATATACTACCTTTGGATATGTATAGAGTTGCGTATATGATTCAATTCTAGTTCGCGTATTCGGTTTGATTCTAACCTTGCAGAATGCTGATAGGAATTCGAATTTGTTGGTAAAATGTCAAATCGTTGGGGCAGCGACTATGTGGTTACCGAACATCGTGATTTACAGGTAGGTCATTTCATAAAAAGGAAATATGTATTTTAATTTTAAATATTATAATGTACACTTGTTTTTATTATTAAATTATTTTTATTTTATATATGCAGGCTAATACTATGGCCGTGGATGCGACGGGTAATTATGTATTACTTGCCGGGTAAGTAATAAAAAAAATAGTTTAGTGTATAATTTCTTCTAATGTTTATATTCTTTAACTTTGCTTCTTTTGTTTACGTATCTTTAGACGCAGATGTTTTGCGGTAAAACACCTTGACGAAAGTCTTGATATATTAAAAAAATTTCAAAGACAGAGTAAATATGAAGTTGGCTCTGCAGAATGGAATCCTACAAGTATAAATTGTCATCTTTGCGCTGTATCGGTTAGATATTAAATCTGTATGTTGTAAACAACATTATAAATATACTTAATTGAATTTATATTTTAGAGCAATACACGTATTGAAATATTATCTCTTATTGGAACTGGTAGTTATGACTTACAAACAACAAATAGTTTAAAAGCACATACAAGAGTTGTGAGTGATTTAAACTGGCATCCTAAAGAACCAGACATCATTGCTTCTTGTAGTATTGATACATTTATACATATATGGGATATAAGAGATCAAAGACGGCCTTCTTTATCTTTATCTGCAGTTGGTAAATATAGACATTATAAAAACCACAAAATGGTGATTATGACAAAATAATTTGTAAAAGTTTAAAGATATATATTTTTGAATATGTTTTAGCTGGTTCTTCTCAAGTAAGATGGAACACTCTTTCTCCCAACATATTGGCAACAGCTCATGATGGAGATATTAAAATATGGGATCAAAGAAAAGGAAATAGTCCTATGCAATATATAGCTGCTCATTTAACAAAAGTATAATTTATTCTTGCAACACCTATTCCTTTTAATAAAATATAAGTTTTTATAAGATATTTATAAAATTATTGAAAATCATTGAAATTATTTTAGATACATGGTTTAGATTGGTGTCCATTTCAACAAAATCAATTGGCAACATCTAGTCAAGATTGTACTGTAAAAATCTTTGATATCAGTAATCCACGAAGAGCTGAAAGCATTTTAACAACAAATTCACCAGTATGGAGGGCAAGATATACGGTAAAAAAAATCTTGCATTAAAAAAAAAAAATAAAATTTATTTCTATCTATAAAAAGTAATTTATTTAGCCATTCGGAGAGGGACTGGTAACAATAGTAGTACCACAATTACGACGAGGAGAAAATAGTTTATTATTATGGAATACAACAAATCTCAATGCTCCTATTTATACTTTTGTAGGACATACAGATGTTGTTCTTGAATTTCAATGGAGACACCAAAAATTAGGTGCGTATTACATAAATATATTTATAAATAAAAAAAAATAAAAAATATATTTATGATTTGTAGAAAATAGTGATTTTGAACTAATTACATGGTCAAAAGATCAATGTTTAAGGATATATAAAATTGATCCTTTTTTAAAAAAAGTAGGTATTTCTATACGTGTTACTACATAAAAATAAAAATATTTATTTATAAAAATTATCATATAATATTGTTTTAGTTATGTGGACATGGTATAGATGATAGTACATCTATTTATACTCAGTATTCTGAAGATAATAATTTGAGTATGTATTTTTTATTTATGAATAATTAATGCATTTATCATTTTATTTAACTAATACAATTGTGATTAATATAGGAACATTACAATCTGTCCAACAATTACAGCTTAATGATAGTCAAAGTGATCGCGAAATGAATTGTATGACAACCAAAGTAGATGAACCTATATTGAATTCTGAAGTAGATATATATATTGAAAATAATAAAGAAATATCATCTCCTACACAACCGAAGACTCTGCAACAAGAATTTTCATTAATAAATATGAACATACCAAATATAGAGGTAATATATATGGATAATATATAATTAGATAATATATATAATATATATATAAAACATAAAGTTACATAACAAAATATTTTTATTATTATTATTTACTAGGTCAATGCAATGGATGCTGTAGAACGTAGTTGTACAGTAACAGCATCCAATAAAAGTTATAATGTGATATTGAAAGTAAATTTCCCTCCAAATTACCCATATAGTGCACAACCTACATTCCAATTTTGTCCTGGGACAACAATTGACAATACAACATTGGCAAAATTGCTAAAAGTTTTAAAGCAAACTGCTCAACAACGTGTTAAAAAAAATAGATCATGTTTAGAACCTTGTCTTAGACAATTAATTACAACATTGGAACAAGTAAAAGAAAATTTATTTTTCAGATCAAACATTCATCTTATATAATGTCTGATGTTTTTCCTATTTCTATAGACATGTAAAAAAGATGAAAATGAAAGTACTCATTTAGGATATGACATTCAAGATAATGCGAATTTTTTAAATTCTTCTAATATGTATACAAATTATCAAGATGCCTATATACCATTTCCTAGAACATCTGGTGCAAAGTTTTGTTGTGTAGGTATGTAAACAAAAAGTAAAAAAAAGGAAATAATAGCGAAAAATATTTTATATTAGGACTTTGTTTTTTAATACATTATTTTAGGTATACTTGTATGTTTTGGTCGTGCTTCATATACGAGAAGATCATCTATGAAGCCTGAGTGTACAACACCTAGAGCACTTTCTGCATTAGGAAATGGAATAGGCAGTGGAGAACATTTTATACATATGTATCCAAATTCTTATGTACAGTCAAATGATAACATTCCTATTAGTTCCTTTTATTTTCAAGATCGAGTATGTATAATATTTTTTGTGAAAACGATAATATAAATTCATAAATTACATTAAATATTTTCGAATCAATAGAAAATGAATCGTGGATTACATAATACGAATAGAATGACCTATAGGTCATGTTGTAAAAATTATCACTTTATGGTGATGATATACGATGCTTCTTCATTATTTTTCGTTAATAAAGAACTTGCCGAAAAATATGTGTGAGTTCAATAACTAATATTTTGTATTCATTGGTAAAATTTTCAAAAAATAATTTTTTGATTTTGTTTTATATTTAGTATCAATATCACCGACATTCCGGCAATGTGTCAATATAATGCAAATGTTGCTGCATCATTAGAACGTGCTGATTTAGTTCAAGCATGGTGTTTAGCTGCTCTTGTGATATCACAACCAATTTCAAATGTTGGACAAAATTCATGTCAGTCGCCTGATATCGATGCTCCATGGCATTTACATCCTTTTGGTCAAAATTTAATTCATTCTTTGTAAGTAATATGTATATCATTTACAAAATAAATAGAATATCATATATTAATTTTTTTTTAGAATACAGCATTATGCTAAACAATCAGATATTCAAATGGCAGGAATGCTGAGTTGTGCTTTTAGTTATCGTTCGGAAAATCCTGATGTTGCTCAAACACGAATGAGTAGCAAATCCATTAACATTAGTGTAAGTATATTATAATTATTTTTTAAACATTAAAATGTTCTAGCATGGCACAAGCACTATATTTCTTATAGTATCATTAATAGTTAATACATGTCTTGATCATATTTTGTCTTCTGTTCACAAAACATACTGAACATCTTAATATTTAAGATGATATCTTCGAATATAATCATCTATTATATCACTGTTCATATTTCGATATTAACTTCTCAAACTACAGTATATCACATTTTCATATTCCGCACACATTTTTTTCTTCTGATGCATGAATATGTACAATTTAAGTGTGTTATCATACGACGGTATTGTATGGATTATATTTATAATAAATTTTCATAATTATAACAGATATCAAAATTTAAATAGATCATACTATACCGACGTAATTTATTATTATTTTATTTCAGTATTTTTTTTTTCTATTATACTTTTTAAAAATTACCAAATGATTGATGTTTTGTTATCTTTGTTATAGAGGCTTTCTACAGGAAAATGGTGGTTAAAGGTAAGGCATGGTTTCCGAATTTTCTAAGTTTGTACGTGTTTGAAATGTTTTGGTTCTTAGGATTTTCTTATCATGGTGATATTTGTTACTGCCTTACAGCATTGGAGTGGAAGTGTCATGATGCCACAAAGCATGTAGGTTTGGCTCTGCTTAATATTTAAAATGCCAAACTTTTCAACTTCGCATCTAATAACTGTTTTACATTATAACTAATGCTCATAAAATCATATTAGTAGTGATTAATCATATGTGATGTACTGTTTGTTGTATTTATATTTAGAAATTTCATACAGAAGACAAACATCTTTATGCAGAAAGAGATCATAGACATTATACGTTTATATACATATATGTATTTTGTGTACATTGTATTTATATTGTATTTATATTTGTTAAAGTTTATTATTCAATTTGTAGTTTTATGTATCATTTGATATATCTTTTTAGCCTGGTGGTTCTCCGTATCATACAATACATTTAGCCGATACTACATTGGAAGGATGGAACTTCCAAAATTTGAAGCAACATCGATCTAATTCGTGGTCTGATTCTCTTGATGACTTAAAATTAATTCAAGATACATTTGGAGATTCTGTAAAAAATATTAGGTACATAGTTGTAAAATTCTAATTTAACATTATACAATTTTTTTTATGAATTAAACATAAATATTGATCGTATAGGTTACTTGATGAAAAATATACTACTCTTTATGATGGTTATAAAAAAGCATACGCCGAAGTATTACATAGATGGCGATTATTAGATGCACGTGCACAAGTATTAAAACACGTAAGCACAACTCCATTAGATACACACAAAGGCGTCGAATTTCAGAGCGAATGTCAATTGTGTGGCAAAGTTAGCAGAGGGCCTCAATGTATGAACTGTAAACGATTAGCATTAGAATGTGTAATTTGTCATATCTCTGTTAGAGGTAAATTTAATTTTATATATAAAATCCTTCCTTTTCTTGCGATAAAATGTATAATACAATTAATTATATATATATATATATATATATTATATAAATATTATATTATATAAATTATTTATATATATTATATATATTATTTATATTATATAAATAATTATTATATAAATATTATATTATATTATATAAATATTATATATATTTATATATATATATTTAGGTCCAAGTAATTTTTGTATATTTTGCGGACATGGAGGTCACACACAACATTTGGCAACATGGTTTGCTACTAAAACATTGTGTCCTACGGGTTGTGGATGTTACTGTTTGCAAGAAAGTTCTGCTCTTTTAAAATTGTAAATAAAAGATTTAAAAAATTGTATATAAAACTGTGAAAAAAATATTAGGATATAATAAATAATATTTTAAAATATAATGTAAATATAATATCTTTAAAATTATCCGTAATTTTCCGTATTATATACTTTTTGTTCCTTTTGTTTACTAAATTGTTTCATTCAATGAACTTATTTCAAGAAATGTTTCTTTCAATTCTTTCATTTCAGTTATAAAAAGAATAGAACATTCACAATATGTGTTATAAAATAAAAGAAATATTAAGTATATATATATATATATATATATATATACCAATATTGCGACGAATTTTTTCAAGATATGCGTGTAAGATATGGTTCTCTAATAAGTCTCTCTTCTACCTCGTAATATTTTTTCCAACATATTTTACAGCATATTTTCTTCATTTAAATAACCATAAATTACGTCAAAGATTAGACCAAAGGTAAGACCATCTGATTTAACTAATAATGAATTATTTTATATATAATAAAATATATATTTTAATCTTTTATTTTATATATTATTATCTTTATCAAAAAACTAACGGAATTAGAAGAATTTTTTTCTTTGTTATTTATATACAAAAATGATTGAATAAGATAACTTTATTTAAAAAATGATATTTTTTAAATATATAATGATATATAAATAAAATATTTGATTGAGATATTGAAAACAATAAATGAACAGTTATAAAGATTAATAATTAATTTATATTAAAACATCGTATTCTTATTATTCATATTATACAAAAAAAAGTACATCAGAGCCTTTTTAATTTAAATAGTAACTAGTATCGATAATGATCAGCTTTATAAGGGCCTTCCTTAGATACACCAATATATTTTGCTTGATCTTCCGTCAATTTGGTCAACTTCACACCAAGATGATCTAAATGCAATGAAGCAACTTCTTCATCTAATTTCTTAGGTAACATATGAACTCCAACCGGATAAGATTTAGATTTGGTCCATAATTCTATTTGTGCCAAAACTTGATTCGTAAATGAATTGCTCATTACGAAACTGGAATGCCCTGTAGCACATCCAAGATTAACTAATCGACCTTCCGCGAGGAGGATAATATGTCTGAAAATGAAGAATAAAATGTGATTTGAAAGTGTCATGAAACCGATTAATAAAAATATATATAAAAAATATATATAAGATGATTGATTCTTTTATTAGTGAATTCAAAGTAAACGTTGACGAGAAAATTTCAAAAGTTGATATCGAATATATTGTCATTTAAATGTCTTCGATGTCATGTAACATTGAATTGAATTACCGAGGAACAGTTCCCAAATATTTCTAAATTATAATTGTTGTAATACATATTTTAACTTTTTCATTTTTTTTATATTTTTAAAAATTTTTTATTTATATATGTAAGCGAAATTTATTTTTTTATTTCTTAATTATTATAAATTATTATTTATTATTATAAAATAATCGAAAATGAGTCTTAGTTTATAAATATTCAGAGAATCACTTCTATCTTACTAATGATAATTTATGCCCAATGTGACATCGAAGACATTTAAATCAAAAACGAAACATTCGATATCAACTTTTAAAATTTTCTCATCGGCATTTCGTTTGGATCCATTAGAAAGAGAATATATTTAATTAGCAGGAAATGATGTATAATTTTATAGGAATTATTCTGATTAATGTAAATTAAATATAAAACTTAAAGTAAAATTCTAAATGTAAAACTTTACTATTAATTTACCTTTTATTTTTCAGTTGGTATCTATCTACTTGTGGCTTAATGTTTACTTTTTCAATAGCGTTTTCTTTAAGCCATGCAACATCGATTTCGCAATCGAAATGACCAATATTGCAGACTATAGCATCTTCTGGCATATTTAGAAAGTGATTGCTCGTTATAATATGTTTGCAACCGGTACTGGTAACGTAAATGTGCCCTTTTTGTGATGCTTCTTCCATTGTCGTTACCTGTTGAATACATTAAAAATTCATCGGTTTTTGTTAAAATTCTTAAACAATAATTTAATTATATTTTATATGTTTAAATTCTGGCTTATTAAGATTTCAATCACCTCGTATCCTTCCATAGCTGCTTGTAATGCATTAATAGGATCGATTTCTGTAATTATTACACGTCCACCAAATGCCTTAAGACTCTGCGCACAACCCTTTCCAACATCTCCATACCCAGCAACTACACAAATCTTACCAGCGATCATAATATCCGTCGCTCGTTTAATACCATCGATCAACGATTCTCTGCATCCATAAAGATTATCGAACTTACTCTATTCGACAAAAAGTATTAAAAATTATTAAAACTTATAATCATTAGAACTAGATGGATTTAAACTTATTTAATTCCGCTACATATTTTTTTAATGAAGTTTATTTTGCAGTAATTTAAGGGTTTCTTTTTTTTTCTTTCTTTACAAAAAAAAAGTACTTTTCTTGTTTTTTTAATAAAATATAGCAAACCTTTGTTACTGAATCGTTCACATTTATCGCAGGAACTTTCAAAGTGCCTTCCTTCATCATGCGATACAGGTTATGCACACCGGTTGTAGTTTCTTCAGAAATACCTCGGCATTCCTTAAGATATTTCGGAAATTTGTCGTGCACCAAGTTAGTCAGATCTCCTCCATCATCCAGAATCAAATTTAATGGTTTTCCATCTTTAAATAAGAGAGTTTGTTCTATACACCATATATATTCTTCATCGGTTTCGCCTTTCCAAGCATACACGGGAATCCCTGCCTTCGCGATAGCGGCGGCTGCATGATCTTGCGTGCTGAATATATTGCACGAGGACCATTGAACCTGTCGATATAATAATGGATCAGTAAAATTTATTATTAAAGATATTAAAGTAAATGTGTTTCATGTGTCAAGATAAAATCAATATATTTCGTATAATATGTCTTTTCTGATATTAAATTTCATTTTCTTATTATTTTTTTATTTATAATTTTTTTACTTTCTATTTTTTTTTTTTTAATTAATCATACCGATGATAAGCAAAAACCGAATTGTTTAAAAAAGATTATCGATATTACTCGAAATGTTTCTAATGTTGCGTAAGAGTTTAAAATATGTATCTTCTATTTCAAGTTTTAAATAAATGTATTATGTATAATGTTAACATTTGATCTAAGATCACGATTTGAAAAACTTTTCGATACAATTGTCGATGAATGTTACAATAACATAGAATCATGATCTATGACATGAATCTATATACATAAATGCATATTTTTAATCTTTTCCTTTCGGAATTCTGAATATCTGATAAAAAAATCTTGGAATTGCACAATGGCAAGAGAAATATTCTTAGATATACGATACACATGATTTTCTGATATATGACATATCGCAAATTGATGATTTAAATTCGTATTTCTTCCAGAGAACATCTTTAATCATAAATGATACTTTGTTTTATGACTTTTCATTTAATTTTCACAAATTTTAATATCGCATATTTTTCATTTGCCAATATTAGTACAAATAGAAAATAAATGAAAACGGAGTAATTTATAAGTATCAAATTTTGCTTTGAAATTAAGTAGAAAATTTGAAGTATAAAACATAAACAATAATGATAAAATATATCGAACCTCAGCTCCTAATTCAATGAGAGTTTCAATAAGAACCGCAGTTTGCACTGTCATGTGTAAGCAACCGGCAATTCGTGCACCTTTTAAAATTTTTTGAGGACCATATTTTTTTCTGATAGCCATAAGACCAGGCATCTCTTGTTCTGCTATGATGATTTCTTTTCGTCCCCATTCCGCCAATGTCAAATCAGCTATAATTATAAAAATAATTTTATTAATCAAAGATCTCTGTTCGATAATTCATAATCGAAATTTTGGAGTCAATTTCATTTTATGATATTTTTAAATATTTCGAGTTTCAATCGAGCGAAAACAAATTTGTTTTTTTATATTTTATTTTGTCATCACTATTTATATGACAAGAAATAAAAAATTAATACATATAATTTGACAATCGTATAGGTTAATCATTAATAATACATTATTTTATCAATGATAATTTAACTTTTTTTTTATAACATTTTATTATATTAAATTCTATCAGTACGTGTGGTTTTTAAAATAATAAGTTCTTATCATCAGAAAACAAAGTTACTCCAAAATAATAAACACGTGTCTATGACTAATATAACTCCAAAACTAATAACTTCGTTATAACTTACCAACTTTAAATGCAGGTTTGGAAGACATTTTTTTAAAAGAAATAACTGTTATAAAATAATAGAGGTAACTATAGAACTTGAATTATAGATAAATAATTGATAAACAAATCCTATGTTTCCACCGGCAAGCTGCGGTACAACTACTGTTAAGAGACATGTTACAATCTTATTTTAACAAGCTCCACTAGGGAACTTATTGATCATGTGAACAAATTTTGAATTTTGGCGGGAGAATAAAATGTTTAATTTCTATTCTATCTAATATATTTCTATAAAAAAAAAAGAATAAATATAAAAATGCAATATATAAATTATTAATAAATTTAATAAAATAACAACATATTTTAGGAATGTTCTAGAATATTACAAATAATGGAAAAATAAACGTGACAAATAAATTTTCGATATTTTTCAATAAAATAATTATTTAAAATTTGTTTCTATTTATTGCTCGATTAAGCTTTCATTCATATATTCCAAAACAAACGAAATTGTATCAAAACGCTCGCATTAATTATCAGGGAATGGAGATTATTATCGAAAGATACATCATAGAAACTAAAATATATCTATTTTTTTTCCTTTAAAAAAAATTAAGATATATTTTGAAACAGAAATGATGAAAGTATGACATCTCATATCTTAATCTGTATTAAAACTAAGAAGTTAGACAAGGAGAGAAAATAGTGGAAGAAGGATAGAAATAGAATAAAAATTAGAGAATCAGCGCCATCTTTAGAGTGCCGCAAATGAAACTCATTACGTCTAGGATAAATAAATAAGAATTAATTATCAGTGCCATCTCTTGAATGCTAAAGATATCTTTTCAAAGATAGGATAAAGTAGAATAAGAATTGAGAATCAACGCCATCTCTTAAGTACTTTAAAAACATTAATTCTTTAAAATTGTTTCTAATACTCAAAAGATGGTGCTAAAGGTCAATTCTGATTTGCTCTCCTCGTCTACGAGTTTCGTTTTCGGCACTCTAGAGATGGCGCTAATTTCCTAATTTTTACTTTATCTCTGTCCTTCTTCCACTATCTGTTCTCCTTGTTTACCGTTATTTTGCAAACTTTATTCCAAAGAAACGATTCCCGATTTTTTATCTCTTTTCGCTTGATTTATCGTTTAAAAATCCTAAACGTTATATTGAAATTTAATAAAAAGATCGGAACAAATACATGATTCAGTTTCATCCCCCAGTTAGGAAATTATAATCCAGATCGGCGAACGTTGTCCCATCTTGAATCATTTGTCTACGAAACTCTTTCGCTTCTTTCTTTTCATCGTACATCACCGGATCCTTGTCGATTCGCGTCAAATTGGGCAACATAGCAAGAATAATTTGCCTGTAAGCAAATTCCTCCTCCATTTCTCTATCGCCTATCGCGGGATTCTCCATAATGATTAGAGTCTCGAGTGCCGGCAAGCAGCTTAATTTCTCAAACTCGGAAATTTTTGCTATCTCGTTATTACGTAGATTCAGGTAATTAAGTTTGGCGCATCGCGCGTCAAACCCGGACAAATTCGATATCTTGTTGCTTCTCAGATGTAGAATTTTCAAATTGACCAATATCTCCAATCCTTCCAATCTATCTATTTGATTCTCGCCGAGATACAATCGTACCAATCCCGGAAAGAATATATCGTTCGTTGTTGTAAGAATGTTTCCACTCATTTCGAGAGTCTTCAAATTCTCGAGATCGTACGGATTCAAAGTGATCTCCTGTATGTTATTGTGATTCAATTCCAGGCATTCGAGAAATTTGTGCGAGATGCCCGACGTGTTGTTTAATTTGTTCTCGTTCAACGTTAAAACCTACAAACGAAGTAGAAAAAAAAAAATTCTATATTTGAGAAAAATTATTTTTTTTTCTTTTAAAAGGAAAAGAAGCGAATTAACCTGAAGGTAAGGCATGGGATCCAATTCCGCGGATTCCACCTCATTTTTATCGGCTTGAAGCATCAGAAGATACGTCATCGACGAAAGAACGCGGAGTGCCTCGTTGTTCAATCTGTTCCCGGACACGTTTACGTATAGCACGTATTTGAACATGGGTATAATGTTTATATTCGTCAGACCTCTGTTGGACGCGTCCAAGCCGAGGTAAGCGTAGCCGAGGCCCGACTCGCATTTTCCCAACGTGTGAAGGCACTCGCCTGCCTCTGTTTGGGTCAACGCTTTCGTCACGTCCTCGAACGTGGTGGACAACGGTTCGAACACCTCCTCCACCTCCCCCCTTCCTCCTCCTCCTCCTCCTCCTCCCCAAACATCTCGATCAAATTTTCCCTTTCTTTCGTGGGGAAAGGGATTTTGATTTAACCTTTTCACGATCGGTAGAGGTTTTTAGAAACGAGAGGATGACAAATAAAAATTTGTTCACTTGTTTATTACGAAAAAAAAATACAAACGTTGCGAATACAAACGCAAATGAAGTGGGGGATAAGGGATGAGAAAAATCAACGGGTTCTGATGCACCTCATTTCGTCCTCCCATTTTAGTCTGCAACTCTTCTCTTGGGTAGGTCTCTTTCGATTCATTATGTCCCTCAATTTCTTCAGAAGGATGAAGTTCTCCCTCATAACGCGATGTTGTCTCTCGCGTTCCAATTGTAATCCCTTCGCATCGAGAGCGACGTGAGGTCTGCTTCGAGGTGGATCCACGTCGATCGCGCGGCTGGCCTTCCTCACCTAGGTCAGAGTTGAGTTTATTTTTAATAACGGTTTAAAAAATACGAATATTGTTTATATACGTTTAAACGATGCCGTTCGTAATCTTTCTGCCACCACATCGACGACGACATTGTTGACTCTTCACAGGCGAGTGAACGTTTACGACTGAGTTTGTTTGGTAACTCGAGCCGAGTATCGATCAAACTATTCGTTTCGTTTCCCCGTGTTTCCGAGGCGCGCGATTCCCCGAATCGCGATATATTATACTCTTCTCGTTTCGCTACTTCTTATCTGTCTCATCATAAATAACAAAACATCGTTCAACGTATAATTTTTTTTCTTCCAAAATTTCTAAAATATTGTGGTAGGCGGGCAGGAGAGGAATTTTCGAAATGATCAAAAATTCGTTGAAATGGAAAATCTAATATTATCCCCGTACGTTCGATCATCGAAAATATTGGAATGTTGTTACGAAGAGAGAAACTTCTCGTCGTTGCTTCCACCGGTTACGAAAGGGTGTTGCGCACGTGTGGCCATGTGCGCGCGCGTGTGTATGTGTATGTGGCACTGCTATGATGTTCCCCAACCGGGGAACCGGGATTGGCGGGCAAGGTGGGCCAATCGTGTTGCGTGAGAGGCGGAGTGACGCGTGCTCTTCTTTTTTCCTCCCTCCCCCTCTGCCACCCTATTTCGTAAATGCGAGTCCGCGGCGTAAATGCACACGCGTGAAATTAATTTTGCCGTGCTTGGCATTCATGGCGACGATGCCATGAACCGAGTGACGACGTTAAATCGAATCTCGCCTAGTGTTCGATGTACGTACCCTTACGTTCGAGAAATTTTATTAATTATTCGTGAGAGGGAATAATGATTGTTGTCCATGTCGGAGAAGAATTTTTATCAATCGAATTGTAAATGTATTTAGATGTTTAAATTTTTACGACCAGGTCTAACGGTCAAGATCTAAATACGTTAAATTGTTTTATAGACGTCAGGTAGAAAAATCGTTTCTTCAATAATGACTGCATTTTGGTTGACGGGAGCAATGACAATGAGGGTGGGAAAGAAAGGAAAGGAGGCAATTCATGTCATTCGGGAAGTCCTCGCCTTCGAGAATTTCTAATATTACGTGCAATAAACAAACCTTGGACAAACTGTTTTCGGAATTGGAATTATAGGGAGGTTGTAAAAATGGCAGAGGAGGCAATAAAGCTATAAAACTATAAGCCTTGGAAAACAAACGGATCATAAAAATATTCCGAGCCAATAGACAATATTCGACCTTTCTTTTTTCCGAGTTCTAGAATTTTCTTAAAATTTACAACTGCATCCTTGTAAATTAATGCAATAAAACCCCCGAAAACATTCCCAAATCTCCCAACTTTCAAAACTAATGTTTCGAAAAATATCGGAAAAGGAAACAAAACGACAAGGATTCAATTTCGAATAATTCTCTTTTCAATCTTTTATTAAAAATTTTTAAACTTCCTCACTTTATTTTTATCGATTTCATTGACACACGAAGAGGAGGAAGGAAGAAAGACGGAAAGAAGCGCGCATATCCCGTGACACGAATCGTGCAAAGGATCGTCGATCTTAATCGCGGATCCTCGACAACGATCCTCTCAAACGGATGAGCCACTCGAGCCAACGATGAAGATCTCTTCCCTCGAGGGGATACGCGGTGTTTCAACCCCGTGTATCAAGGACCCCCTGACACGCATTTCCCATATACACGCACGGGGGATAGAGAGCCAATCCCTTGCACTCACCGATCCCGATACAGTATATTACATTATCCTCCGCTCTTTTGCCTCGCCCATCCTTTTCGATCCTTGCCTCCGACTCGGCGGGATCCGCTTTCAATCCACCAGCGGCCAGCTGACGCGGAACGCTAGTTTTCTCTTTTTTTTTTTCTTTTTGTTATTATTACTATTATTATCGTTATTTTTCTTTTTTTTTTTTCCTTCGGCGATGACAGACCGAACGAGGGTTTCGATAGAAATGAAGAAAAATGGGGGAAAATGAATGTCGATGTTACGTTAGACGAGTCGAGTGGAATTCAATGTTAAAGGAATTTGATCTGAAAAATCCTATTATCTAATCATTCGAATGTGATTTCTGAACAACAAAAAGACAAAAAATAATTATTTGGAATTATCTTTTATTATCTTTTCTTAAATTAAAAAAATAATAATAAATCCAAGATCTATTTTCAGAATTCTTTTAACGATAAAGAGTCGAAGCACCGATATTTTATTTTATTCGCTAATCGCTTTGACGTCTTATGAAATATCTCCTGAAATAATATTTAGTATTATAATTTTTATCACAAAAGTTAATTCGCGTCTCTCTTAAAGAGACGAATCTCTTCGATCGCGAGTTAAATTTTGCAACCTGCATATAATTCGTCATTAGTCGAGAGCCTCGGGTTACAACAACATTGTATGCTTGATAAATTAACGCGCGAGAGAATTCTCGGGGCAACAACAATAACCGCAACAACGGTTGTAAAATTCCGGTTGTGAACGAAATTTCAGAGTCGGCTCGTAACGGTAACGTTTCTCCAGCAAGATGAATTTTGCGAGCATGACGCTGGACTGGGATCCCCACCCGTTCTCCACCCCTCACAGACTCGTCCGCTGCGCGATTCGATCGTAGACGTGGTGGGGGGGAGGGAGGCGCATTAGTGGGCGTGGTCTGGCTCTGGACGGGAAAAGCCAAAACTTTGCCGCGAGTTCGCGTCTCTCTAGTCTCCACTGAGACGCCGCACGGTGTAGTCGCTCTTCGTGTGATCCGGCGCTCAGTGCAAATTCCGATTATATATATAAATTCTTATAAGCTGTGAAACCAATTGAATCCGTACCGTCGTCACCGTATCATTGCAACGACGGAGTAGTGAAGCAAGCGTGTCTGAAGTCGGATCGATCTTCGAGACGATCTTTGACTTTTTTTTTCCCTTCGTTTCTTGAAACGATATCCGTGCAAAATGATGCACACCATGAGCGAGCACACCGGTGGCACCGGGGGATTGGGTGTCAGCGTGCTGCCGTTCGACGGGATGGGACTGTTCGAGCAACAACGGCCCAGATTCCTGTTCAAGATGCCCAAGGTGGTGCCCAATCAAAAGGCCAAGTTCGAGACGGAGGAGTTGTTTAGGAGACTGAGTCGCGAGAGCGAGGTAAGAATTATTTTAATGAACCAATTAGATTATATATATTTTTTTGATCCAGTTTTCGCTCTGGTCAAATGGTACATTCATACATTTTATAGTATTACAACTTTCATTCGATTAACTACATTTAATCGTTTGTACGAGGGAAAACATTATGCGTACAACGATAATCGATACGTATTGATTTTATAACTATCGTTTTGAAGTATTACTTCTCTGAGATTTTTTTTTTTCATCCATATGAATCACCGAGATTAAATTTTTGGAACGAAACTTACGAAACGAATTTAATTAATTCGAACGGAACGATCATTCGAAAGGAATGTCGTTTCTTCGAATTTCACACGTTTCGTTCTTTCGTAAAAATTAATTCACGATTTCAATCTCTTCCGACGGTTGGATGGATCGATCTCGGTAGAATTTATCATCATTATTGAATCGATCGCACGATAGAGAATCGAGAAGATTGTAAAATGTTTTTTCTTTTTTTCCTTAAATCTGCACAGGTCAGATACACTGGTTACCGAGACAGACCAGTCGAGGAACGCCAAGTGCGCTTTCAAAATGGTTGCCGGGAAGGGTATACGGAGATCGCGTTTGCCGCGACGGGGACCAATCTCCAACTCGTTTTCGGCAATGCATCCGGAAATTACGGCGGCGATATCAACGATTGCGATTTCGAAAAGGAGCGTGGCAAGGTAAGTGAAAAACACACTTCTTCTTAAAAACGATTTTCTTAAAAAAAATTTTATCCGAACCGATCTCGTCTTCTCGTTATTTATATAATATCGTATGATAGAATTCTGAAACTCGATAATACTTTACATCCTAAGTTCGTTGAAATTGAACTCTTTAAAATTTTCGAATCAAGAGAGATTATAAAAATATCTCGATTCGTCAATTAATAGTTGTGCACTCTCGTATCTCTAATTGGTCAATTGCGGTTGACAAATGGGGAAGAGGAGTAGGTCGTTAAACGAGCTCGGACAGGATGTATAGTTTTTCGTGTCCTTGGGCATCGTATGTCCAAGGATAGGTTGTCGGCTTCCAGACGGACAAATTTAGTATCCGTTTCCATACCTCTCGAACAATAGTGTCACCGTGTTCTCGGTGAAGAGTCCCCGACAGAAGACATCCGGTCCCGAAATTTTCGCCGTCCCCGCGGGTGGTGAACGAGATTCCATAGCGTAACAACAATCTTTTGAGTCTAGAATTTATTATTAATTTTTAAAAGAAGGTTGGCAAAAAGTACTTTCCAAGATAGATTCCATTTTTCTCTTCGTCGAAGAATCGATATTTCTCTGACGATTCTTAAAGCCATTCTTTTTCCTTCAAAATCGCTTAACAGGAGTTGTATGTATCGTCGTCGTTGTACGTCGGCGCAGAGGAAGAGGGGCGTCGTCGCCATCGCGATCGATACGCGCGTCGCGAATCCGCCATTTTCTATAAAAGATACGCGTGCACATGTAATAATAATAATAATCGCTTTCCCTCTCCTCGGCTTCTTTTTTGTTAAAAATCGTAGAAAGGAAGAGGATGGAAAATTTTGGAAGAAAAAGAAACATTTTTTCGTTCAGATATCACATTCAAAAAATTCTCGAGATTCGAACGATGCGTTTTAGAGATTGGAAAAGGGGGTCGGAATGAGAGTCCTATTAACAGCTACTGGTGAACCAATTAGCGTTTTTCGAAATCCGTCAAACAGAGTCGGTGCGCCAGATGCCCAGACGCTTCACAAGTCACCCGGTATATAATGGGTCATAAATCTCTTGCTCTACCTCTCCTCTGGATCCTCCCAGGGGTGAGCGCAAACTTCTCTCCGCTCGAATTCTTCTCTTCAGACTTTGGAGAATTGGAAGAACCTAGTTTTTTCTCGTCTGACGTTTTTTTTCTATTTTTCTTTCTACAATTTTCTCACTCAATTTCCTCAAAATCTCGAAATATCTCGCGACAACATGGGTTCCAGATCGATTCAAGTTTGAAAATAAACGCGCGGCGTCGAATACAAATGTATAAAGATATATAAAGATGGAGAGATATATAAAAATTACGGTGTTTGATCGAAGAGCACGCATGAAATGAGCACGAGAAGAAGGAGGCTCTTCTCTCGATAAGATCGACGAAAGGCCCTCGCTCTTTTCATTTCGCCGCTCTTTATCGGCCGCCTCTATCTTGCTCGCGAATCTCTCCCTTAATTATTTCCTCTCCACGGGGAACGAGGCCGAGACAATGACGGTGGACACGTGCAGCCCCGCGTCGGCTCTTTATTACGCCTCCTCCTCTCCTCCATTGTCGATTAAAACAAAACACGGTGGCCGCGGGTCGCCGTGTAAACAACGTGTTCTCCTCTCTCTTTTTCTTTTATTTTGAAGAATGAAAAAAAGAAAAAAATAATAAAATGATTCGTTAAGCGCGACTCCTTTGCGGGGAGGAATATCTGGAAACGCGTGTAATCGCCGTGATTCATGAATCTCACGATGGAATGACGAAGGATTTTATCATTGTGATATGTAAAAGTAAAAATGAATGAAGGAATTACGTCACTCTATATTTTTAGTGTCTTTAAAGAAAATTATATAAGATTTTATGGATAAATCTACGTTTTATACGTCCAAGTTTTTCCAATCTTTAATTATTAATATTATCGAAAGCTATAAGTTTTTGGAATTAGTTATTATTTGCAACAAAGCATTATATCAAATTAGAATTAATGAAATTGACCGCATATCGATACAATATGTTACAACTAGGATTGTTCTAATTTCACAAGTTCAAGATAGATTTCGATCTTGCTGGAATCGATAGAAAAATCGGGCGAGGGGGAAAAAAATTCGAAAGGCGATTTCACATTGCTAATAACCTTTTTTTAATTATGATACTTTTTCGATTTACGGCCCGTGATGTTTCGTAATATTCGGCTGGAAAAAATGCTTTACGAACTAAAAACTATATTATTTTATGAAAAATTGAAACAGATCCGATTTATATGGGTTTAAATTTTTATCGAAATTTTTATATTATCGAAATATAATTGATTTGTTATACTGTTACTGTATTATATATACTCATACTGAGGGAACCGAAAATCGAAACGCGTTGACTTAGGTCAAGCTGATTTACACCTCCGCCGAAATGCCCCGGTAGTCCTTTCGCCAAATACAAATCCGGAGAACTGTTGTTATGGTTCCTCGAACGGGAGGGAGAGGAGTCCATTCTCTTCTCTACCAATCGTAAAATCTTACGAGACTGATCGAAAAAAAAGAAAAAATATCTTTTACACAGGTACAAGATCGCAGCTTGCTCGAGCTTCTCGCAACATTTTCGAGAATCTCAAACTGTATTCGTAGTAATAAAAAAGTTGTGAAATTTATTCCAGAAATACCATGATATTGAAAAAAAATTTCAAATTAACGCATTAACGACGAGTAATTTTAATAATATAGAATTCCTTCAATACGTGTAATTAATATATTTTATTGAAATTTTATTTGAAAAAGTTATATATGGAAAATATTGGAATTTTTCAATGTGCCAGAACGTGAAAATTTGTTCAAATCTTGCATCACAACTCATCCTCATTTATTTCAGTATCACTTTCGCATAAAATACATAAGCATCTTTTGGGAATAATATCTGAATTATCACCTTTCTATATATTCGTCTTCGATTGTTTCACAATCACTAAGTATGTCTGATAAATCATTAAATTGGTCAAATAATTTTTCTTTATCCATTAAGAGAAAAAATCAGACCAAAAGTAAGCTATTTTAAATCAATCATTGTGATGTATTCAATTCAGTTAGAGAAACATATGATAAAATATATGTTACAATGCGTAAAATGCGCCACTGTCAGAAATAATATCGGAGAAATTACTAGAAAAAACACATATATGTCGTAGAACGAGAATATTCGTTTCCCGACGGTAAGGTATATTTCAATAAAATGAGAACTCTCTCGTTTTCCGTCGGCAACGCGTTAAGAAAAAACGAACGATACATATTCCGTTTCTGCATTCGGTGTTGCGGAAAGACAAAAGATGTTTTCTCGACGCGTTGACCGTATGTAGGACGCGAAAAGACGTTACGTTGACGAATGTCTTGCCCATTGTGGACGGTTGGCAAAAAGGCGAAACAGCACCGCCTACCAAAAAACAAAAGAGCCATCCAAATAGCCGGTCGTTTGTCCCGACGCATTTACGTTTTATGCCGTAGTCATCGTTCCACCCTTTCCCGATTTTTCACCCCCTTTCGTTCCACCGGTTCGACGTTACATCTTGTTTTTTTCCCCTCCTCTCTCTCGACTTCGTGTTTTACACTTTCCTTTCTACTCCATCCATTCTCCTTTCTCTCTCTCTTTCCTTCTCATTATTCATCGTGCGCAACATGCAAATAAACGGGCGAAAGGGTTGCACACGGTGCAAAGTCGTGAACGAGACACGCGTTACAGTTTAAATATCGCCGTCCCATTGTTCCTGGCGATAATGGGTCACGCCCCTGGCGAGTGAAAGGTGTCGAATGGATTTTTTGACATTTTTTTCTCTCTTTCTTTCTTTCTTTCTGATCCCGGCTCGCGTGAGAAAAATTAACGATGATTAAACGGTCGTCGACTTCTCTCCCCTTCTTTTCCTTCGCTTTTCTTTTTACATTATACGTTTCAACGTCGAGAGAAATTCTGAGAGAATCGTCAATCGTTCGATTTTTCATGAGAATTCGTAAAAAGGGAAGAGAGAAAGAGAGATCTTTTTAAATTTGACGATGAATGAACATGAAAAAGAAGTCTCTCTCTACATATAGGAAAAATTGAGTGGAGGAATCGACTCGATTTGCAAGTAGACTCGCACATATACCAAACGATACTGATAATAATATCCGATATTATCCAATTCCTTGCACATTAAATATATGTTACTCGATTAAAATTAATTGCAACTCTTCCAATCTTTCGAGCATTCTCTCTTTCCTTTATTTTATTCCATTTTCCCTCTCCCTCTCTCTCTAACCTAATTTAACGTTTCGCCATTGTTCGAAGGTAATACGAGATCCTTGCGTGTGTTTGGAAAGAGAAAATTTTTTTTTCCCAAATTGCAGAGTAATTTCGAGTCTTTCGGAAAAGGCGACAAACTATTCGATTATCGAAATATTCGATCGCCCGCTGCTCGCTCCCGTGGCTTATGATCGCATGAAGAGAATCATGCTGGGTCGGGCACATTGTTGCATCGCGGCCAGAACAACCAGCTGTATGTATCCGTCCAAAGAGGAGGGATTTTCGCCAACGTAACGATGATTTCCTCGGCTCGAAGCCTTCCAAAACATCATTCGTCACGGATCGATTCAAATTTTCCCTTTCCAAAAGATTTGAAAGATTTCACGATGAGAAGAATAGAGAAAGGCTTGTCGAATTTATAGCTCATCTCTTCCAACTTCGAGATTCCGGCTCAAAATAGGCGATAAAATTTCTTCCTCTCGATGGTCCAGAAAAGTGAAGGAGGGTTAGCCCGGATTCCGTAACAGTTTCTAAAATTTCGAACGGGGCCGGAAACGGGATCATTTGCCAGGAAATAAAATAACCCTGTTGGGCCAGGCACAGATAATTAACTGTTTCGAGTTTTTCGACGGCCAAAGGATCGACATCCCTCCTTCTCCTTCGCCATTCCCTTGGCGTTGTAAATTCGGTTTGTCGGTCAACTTGGTCGTCGTGTCTTAACCCATAAAATCTCTCTTTCTCTCACGTTTTTTCAAAATCATTTACCCCGTTTGTGATATCTCGAATATCGAACATCTCTTTCGAGATTCGAGATGGTAAAATAAATTAAATACAATTAGAAAGAAACGAAAGTCCAGAAAAATTATTTCCTTTTCCCAAGAATGGAAACGTATTCCGTTTTCTCACCTCTCTTTCTCGAGCCCGGCCACCGTCGACCTCGCAATTTCACCTCTCCTTGTACCTTCCAATCTGCGTAATCGTTCTCTGGAAATAAGAAACTGTTCGAGACGAGGAGAGAGGGGGGAGGAAACATGATTGAAAGTCGGGCTTAATGGACCCGGCTCCATCGGATTTCTTGCTCGCATCGAGATGTTACAACTACGATCCCCCAACAGTAATTTTTCATTTTACGAAAAAAAAAAAAAAAGAAAACAATATAATATACCGAGGCGCGCGATAACAACGATCCACGGATATCCACCTTCGAAATATCGGTTGCCTCGAGCCGACTGGTGAAGCAAACGATGGTTCTGTTTGCAGGTGCACCTGAGATCTCGGCTGATCATGAACGGCGTGTGCGTGATGTGGCGCGGATGGATCGATCTTGAGAGGTTGGACGGCGTCGGTTGTCTCGAGTATGACGAGAAACGCGCCGCCGAAGAAGACGCCCTCCTCCGCGACCAACTTGAGCGTTACAACCAGCGCGTGCGCGATTTCGATGAGAAGCAGAGGGCGTACAGGAGCTCGGCCGGCCAGCCGCCTCACCTCAACCATCATCACCACCATCACCACCACCACGGTCACCACGGCCATCACGTGACCGGAGCCGCGGCCGGGGCGACGGGAGCGATCGAGGCGACCCACCTCACCCACCGCCAAGATCCGGAGATGGAGGTGAGATTGAGGGCTTACTGAGGCAGCGAGAAGGTAGCCACCAACGAAACCACTTGAGTTCTTTTCCACATCTCGGACTTCCAATCGCTTCCGGATTGTCCTCGAGCCGTGCAAAGAAGAAGAAGAAGCGGGACGAGAGTCACGAGGAGGGGGAGAGAGAGGACGAGAGATTCGTTCGAGAGAAGTGTTTCTGATCGGGAGATGTTTGGATGGATAATAGAGAATAATGGGGAGGGAGATGCGCGTGTTGTGAGGTGTATGACGAGTAATGATTTGGATAATCGTCTCAATCGTTTTATTCTTTCGGTTATTATTTTATTGTCTTGAATTTTAATAATGAAGATATGCGAATCTTAGAGTTGTTAAGGAATTAGGTGTTTAATTTCTGAATCGAATTTGTAATTCTCAAACCTTGTTATTTTGTGTAATTACATATATATATATATATATATTCTATAGAAAAAAGAAAAAAAGAAAATCTCATCTCTGGTTCATTTATAAGAGAATAAACTGTATCGAAATCCTCCAAGTGACTCCAGATTTCCTTCCTTCTGCCATTCCGTGTATCCTCTCTCCCTCCCTCCCTCCACCCTCTCCCAACAGAATTTTATAATCGATCATGCGTACGCGATTCAAGTGACGCTCGATCGTCAAATTGTATGATCAATGATCAGCGATCGTTTTAGATTTTAAGCGACGTGTTCGTTATCCGATATCATTCTTCAACGTTTGAATTTCACTCGAAATACTCGTATCACGAACACGCGACCACGCCGAATTTCTTATGTACGATTAATGATAATAAGGATCGCATGTAGCGTTTAAGGAACGAGTTCGTTTTCTTTTCTTTTCTTTTTTTTTTTTTTAATTGTGTCTCGATCGTTCCATTTTCCATTATAAAATTCATTGTTATTTATCACCACGAAACGAAGCGAGTAATCGCTATCCGCCGAGTTCAGAGATCTTTTTATTCGATTCCATATATACACACACACATATATATGTATATGTATAGGTATGTGTGTATTTTCAATTTTGTTTTTCTTGTTGACGAAGATATATCGTGTATAGGTATAAGGAATTATATCATTAGATGAATGATGTACCTTGTTACAGTAACAAACGTAAAGGAGAGGAAAAAAATTGAGAGAAGAAGAGAATTAAATTACGAACTTTACGATTGTTCCTGTTGTCTGATCGCATCCGCGTCAAGCCGTGCAACGAATCTTTCGACGAAGCTTCTTTTCTTTTCTCTCCTCTTCCCCCAATCTGGAGAAAAGATGACGTCGAATTCGCTCGAGTCTTCGCTCCGATTTACATATCAGCGTGTATCAGAGTCCGCGATCGACTCGATTCGAAACTTATTTTTTCCTTTTATCGCCAATTTTCCCTCGACTCGAGTGGTATGGCAAGTTCAATTAATTCGAATCGTTCGTTCGAAGACGCAAGATCGGATATTTTACGCATTCGAGCGAAGAAAAGTTTCTTTCCTTTTAATTTAAGAAATTAGGAGAGTCTAGTACGAAGATTTTTTACATACGAAAATGAAAAATATGTCGAGGCGAATTGGAATTTTCGGGAGAAGGGATGGAAGAGAAAGATAGGCGGAGGGGAACAGAGTGTGCGTCACGTTCAACGAGAAAGAGGAGCGTGATTCACACGGGGATTCCCCTATCGAGGAGGAATTCCTCGAGCGGCGATCAAGATTTCGTTTCGTATGCGTCGAACGTACGTACAAGAGCTCGACGATCTCTTACGTTGCATATGTACATATTTGTAAAGAGTTAGAGTTAATTTGTAACCAGGCGGCTTCTCCATTCTGGGATCGCGAACAAGAAAAGAGAGAGAACGCGCGGCGATCCTCGACGCCTCGACAATTGTATAAAGCTGTTTACCGATTAAACGTAATTTTCCGTCGAACGATCTACGTCCATTCTACGTTTTTATCCATTTCCTCTTTCCTCGACACGTTGAAAAAAATACTTATTTTTCCTGTATTCTTCGAAGATTAGAAGGAAAGAAGTAAATATAATAGTTTCTCCGGATACGTTGAGAAAATATCGATTGAATCTCTTATCTTTCTACCTGTATCATCGTTCCTCGAAAAGAAGAATACCGAAAGATCAGTTCGAACGATAATTCCAGAAAAGAAATTGTGGAAGAAAATCGTAAATTGAAAAATCCCCCTTGGAGAAATAAGAAATAAGAGAGAAGAAATTTAATCTTCGCTTTACTTATCTCCCTTAAAAACAATAGTTTCCTCTTTCGGTGAAATAATAATCGTTGAAAAGGCAACAAGTGGATAATTGGACGTGATCGAACCGATATGCGATACTCGCGTCGCGCGTGTACGAAGCGTGCACGCGCATGCGCGCACCTACACCTATGCGCATCGACTATACGTGTTTACGAATAGGAGGGGGACTATAGAGGGGTTATTTTCTGGAATAATGCCGTGGGCGTTCGGGCGTAGAAACGTACACGAGTATCGCGCACCGTTGATCCTATCAAATGGGAATCATCCGGAAATCACCCCGGTAAATCTGCTTTTATTGTTTCCAGGCTAAACCTTCCCCTCTTTTCTTTCTCTCTCTCTCTTCCTATCCTTCGCAACATCGAATTCCTCCATTCCAAATTGGATACACCAGATTATTCTGGGATACTTATCATTATGGAGGATAAACGTTTAAATTGATATAAATTGGGAGGATTTCTCTCTCTCTCTCTCTTCTTTTTCTTTCTCGAATTTGATTCGTTGTTAGGATTTTTTGAAAGGAGAGAGAGTGGGGGATAATTAAGAGGAGTGTATTGGCTCGATGTAAGACGATAATGCGAGCGTCGGAATTCTTATAAGAAGCCTTACACATGGAGAACCGATACAGGGGAACGAGGACCGTTGTCACTTCCCACGAACCACGAGATATCGCGAAACCAACGGAAAATTGTTATTCTTGTTCTCTGAGAAAGTGTATTTTATTCTTATTGGCAAAATTGGAATTTCGAATTAGAAAAAAGCGAGATCTGGATGATTAAACTTCGATACAAATTTAACAACGTTATTATTCAATAAGATGGTGAATTGATAAAACGGAAAGAAAACATTTGAAATATAAAAATTGTTATATATGATGATAACAATTATTTCGTGATAAGAGTTTAAAGATAAAATTTGCAACAATTACATTATATTTAAATAAAAAAAAGAAAATTGCCATCTATTCTGGAAGAGACGTACGAATTACTTATTTATCCTTGCCTATTATTTCGAAAAGAAGCCCAAACGTATAATTCCAATAATAATCCCCGGGACTAGGAAATAAACTCATAAAGAGATTACAAACAATTGGCAACAATTTTCGAAGGATTGCTCGAGAAACCTTCATTTCCCAAATATTTCTTCCATACTGGATGAAATAAAGGCGTTGTAAATAAATATGACCTGCGTACCTGTGCGCCATGAGATTTAACAATGAAGGGTAACAAGTTTGTTTCGGCACGTTTGCACGGAAACTGAAAGCGCTGAATGCATTTCGAGTGGGATCAGTTGGAAATAAATCAACGAGACGGACGAGACAGGACGAAAGGCGCGTGTGTATAACGGGTGACGAGCGGTAATTTATTGGCAGGAGCGTGACTTTTTGCCTCCATTATGCAAAATCCTGACACGATTTCCCGTCGAGATGCCGCCACTCGAGGATGGCCGGGGGCCAGCAGTCATCAATTACGATTGGAAATAAATCGAAGGCAGATGCGACGAGTGGCTGGCAGGGCCCCTTCTTTTCCTCCTTCCCCTTGCCTCGCCGATTTTTCTCACCCCCTGCCGACAATACGTCTGTTTTCAACAAATACAAAACGATACACGAGACCGACCACCCCCCCTCCATTATATATATATACCCTCCTCGAATTCCTTCAGGCTCTTTGGATCTCTTCTCTCTCTTCCCCGATATATGCTTTTCAAATTGACACGTTTATCGCTATCGAAATGGAATATCGACTCGAACAATTGACGATGATCCAAGCGAGAATAAATTGATAAAAGTAACGAGATTTTCTTGCGATCGAATTAAAATTCTTCGAACAAATCGGTGAAATGAAATAAAACAGTGAATTTTTTTTAGATTTAAGTATCGTTTGTGTAACTTAAATATTTTCAGCCGATTCGATAATTTTTTCCAACGATTGGAAATTCTATAATTTTGAATAATCGTTGAGAAATTAAATCTAATAAGGAAAAAATTTTTTTGCCATCGAATTAAAATTCTTCGAATAAATCATCCAACGAAATTTTCAAATCAGAAAGTTAATTTTAATTTTTATTAACTAGGAAAGTTTTAGTTTTATTCTGTGCGTGAATTGTACAGAGCGGGCAATTTTATCGGAAGCACGTGGTTCCTGTGGGTTCCCTTTCGATGGCTCAATAAACAACACGACAACGATCGCAATTTGGTTAAACTGTAACAAGGCAACGATACCGTTTATCAACCGGCCACAGGAAGTTAGTGGTCGATAAGTCTTCTCGAGGCGAGAGACGGAAACGAAACGCGTAATATTCCTACCTAAAGGTGATAATTTCGCGCTTAAATAATTCTACGTTTGAAAACAAATTCGAAACACCATTGTTCAAAAATCTCGTAACAGTAGAACGCGAGACGCGCAGTTCTAAAATACGAGCAACCGGATCGAAGCTTCTCGAAGCCACGATCCTCTCGACCCGATACCGTTCCCCCTCCACTATTCTCGTTTCAATGTCGTTTATGTTTTGACAGAAACACATCCGTGCCCGCTTCCATTCCTCGCAATCATCTCCTCCTCCTTCTATTCCTCCTTCTTTAAGCTTCTCTCCGAGAGGCACGGTGCAGAAGGGTAAAAGGAGAAGGGGAAAGGAAGATGGATCTTCTCTCGAGGATTTGTAATTTTCTAATGATTAGGCGCAGGTTGGAGATTACTAGACCCTGGTGTGTCCCTTTTTCTTTTCTTTTCTTTTCTCTTTTTGGAACTTCTTTCCTCTTTGGAATTGCTTTAAAATCGGAGTTACGT